TAGTCTCCTGGGGTCCCTGAAAAGTAGAGGATATATTTAAAAAGAAAAGAACTGTGTTTTGTATCAAGACATAGTTTTTTGAGTCATAATAAATTAGGACTCTACTCCCTGCACCTCCAAATACCTCTTCTCATTGAATATAGTGACCAGAGGCCACATCAAGAAATGAGGAACTTAATATCTAGAGAATTTTTATGGTTAATAAATACCACAGCCTCAGCCTCTTTTCTTCTGGATGTTAGAAGGAATAGGATAATTAAATGAGAGTTTAGATCTCACATAAAAAGTTAATATACAAGTTAAATAAAAATATAAGTAGATTTATTTTATAGAAGTTTTCATAATGGGTCCCAAATACTTCATTAAGCATTTCTGGATAAAAATATGTAAAGCTCTTTATAAGCTTTTGTTAATAAATTAAATACCATTTCTCTATAAATATACCTTGCATTAAGCTTTCCTGTTAGAGTTTTCAGGAAACATTTCAAATAAAGTGGCCAGGCATATCCCATTTGAGATGAATGCGATCATTAGGAAACACTTATACCTGAAATAAGCACTGAGATCATTCTGCATACAACCTAAGGGCCCTAATTTTTTAAATATTTCAAACAGTGTGCCTCTTTCAAATCATTACATGTAGAGACATTTAAGGAACTGATTCAATTAGCCCAGAAGAGGGGAATGCTATAACGTGTGATTTATTTTTGAAGATAAATTAAAACGCAAGTGTATCTGTTAGGAAAGGTAGGTTGTCATCATGGTTAGTAATGGGAACAGCAAAGCAATTAAGCAGGGCCACCTGAGGCTGAAATAGCCCCTAAACACAGAAGCTCGATGTTCAAGCTGGACATTCGGTTGTCAAAATCAAAACTGTATCTTCTTTGAGAGGGATCTTTGAGCTACATTTAGTTCCCTTCATTGATTTCTAAAGCGCAGTTCTCAACTTCCATACTTTCCTCCCCTTAACCGCAGCTAACAAGAAGCCTAAATTGTTATGGTTTCATAACTTAAAGCCAAACTTCACATAAAGCTGATGCCTTAAAATTACAACTTTGCATTCTATTATTTAGGTGAGGAAATATGAGGCAAGAATTTATTTTTCTCCTCTGCAACTCCAGGATATTGGCTCCACCAGGCCTAATAAATTGTTTTCATAAGGAAATAAATAGAGCATGCTGCAGCTTAGGTTCCCTTATGCAAGGGGTTTCAAACAAGATGTATGCTAAGCAATAAATAATTACAGATGGGGGGGTGGGAGGAGAAACACTGTAAGGGTGGGGAAAAAACAGTTTCTTAGCCAAATTGGGGGAAAAAGACTGAAATTCAAATTGTTAGAAATCTGAAGGTAGTTGACTGTCATTTTAGAGACAGGGTCTCACTCTGTCACCCAGGCTGGAGTGCAGTGGTGTGATCATAGCTCACCATAACCTTGAACTCCTGCTTCAAGCGATCCTCCTCCTTCAGCCTCCTGAGTAACTAGGGCTATAGGAATGCACCACCATGCCTGGCTTGTTTTTTTTTTTTTTTGGTAGAGGCAGGGTCTTGGTATGTTGTCCAGGCTGGTCTTGAACTCCCGGCCTCAAGCAATCTTACCACCTTGACCTAATTACAGGTGTAAACCACCGCATCTGGTCAGAGATGTCTTCTTAACTATTGTGAAATCTGTAGAGAATATGAGAAAATGCTAAAACAAGATGATAAAAGAAAGAGCAGAGGAAATAAGAATGCGAGAAGAGGTGTTAAGGCAGCCTTGAAAGTAATAGCCACGTAAATCTCACAAACTGAAACCAAGAAGATGAACACCAAAGAAGCATTTATAATTCACTGTTCTTTTCTGCTAAATCTTGTCCCCACCTTGATTTAAAAAGCTTGAACAACGACCGGGCATGGCGGCTCATGCCTGTAATCCCAGCACTTTGGGAGTCCGAGGAGGTCGGATCACTTGAGGTCAAGAGTTCGAGACCAGTCTGGCCAACACGGTGAAACTCCATCTGTACTAAAAATACAAAAATTAGCTGGGCTTGGTGGCGGGTCCCTGTAATCCCAGCTACTTAGGAGGCGGAAGCAGGAGTATCGCTTAAACCCAGGAGGCAGAGGTTGCAGTGAGCCGAGATCACGCCATTGCACTCCAGCCTGGATGACAGTGTGAGACTCTATCTCAAAACAACTACAACAACAACAACAACAACAAAACACATACAAACAGATGGGGAAAAGCAAAACAAAATTTAAGATCAAGAGGAGAAAATGTTCCTTAGTCAGTGAAGGAAGTTACTTTCACTTATGGTGGAAGTTGTAAAAAGTGCTCTGTCTTTTGCGCACATCAACCAACAAAAATTCTTATTAAATAGTTATTATGTGTTCTACACTGTTTTAGGAACTGAGGAAGGCACAAGGGAAACAGGCTGGAGTGCAAGATCTCCGCTCACTGCAACCTCTGCCTCCTGGGTTCAAGTGATTCTCCTGCCTCAGCCTCCTGAGTAGTTGGAATTACAGGCACCTGCCACCAGGCCCAGCTAATTTTTGTATTTTTAGTAGACATGGGGTTTCACCATGTTGGTTAAGCTGGTCTCGAACTCCTGACCTCAAGTGATCCACCCGCCTCAGCCTCTCAAAGTGCTGGGATTACAGGTGTGGGCCACTGTGCCCAGTCTCTATACCTTTTCTATAGTGTTCTTTTTGCTCTTGTTGAAGCCTCCCTTCTCCCTTAAGACCCAGCCAAAAGTCAACTTTCCCAGGGAGTAGGAGTCCTCCCTGGCGGAGCACCCAGCTCATGTTGTTATGGCTCTTTTTCATGTTTTCCCCACAGCCTCTCATAATTAGTGATACGTTTTTCCACAGGTATCACTGTTCCCCCTTGCTGGGACCTTCTCTTTCTCCCCAGTGAACCCTAAGATTTTACTTTTTTAATTTCTCAATTGTATCTCTAACCTTCTAAGGCTTTGATAAAAGTATATCTTATGAGCATACACTGTTATTAAGTCATAATTTTTGGCTATAGAAATTCCCTGAGATCCCTCAACCGCCCAAGCTAAGGTCTGTAGTTTCTCCGTGAAAACAATTCAGCCAGGTCACTTTGGGTTCTGAGAGGCTGGAACTTATTTCTATAAACCTAATACTAAAATGAAATATTTTTGTCTGTTTTCACTATTGCTTAGCATCTGAGCGCTGAGCATTAGGCAGTTTTAGTTACTGAAAGTATCTAAGGAAAGATGTTTTCTGGCTGATGCTTAATGTTTTCTCAACACCCAAGAAATGGGACTCCAGCGACTCTGAAAATGGCATTTTTAGACGAGAATCAGGCCGGGCGCAGTGGCTCATGCCTATAATCCCAGCACTTTGGGAGGCTGACGTGGTAGGGTCACTTGAGCCCAGGAGTTCAAGATTACAGTGAGCTATGATGGCGCCACTGCATTCCAGCCTAAGTGAAGGAGTGAGACCCTGTCTCTTCAAACAAAACAGAAAGATGAGAATCAAAGTGTTGCTTGGTAGTGTAGAAAAGGCGTTTATCAACACTGTAGGCCCCTGTCAAGCTTACATTTGGAGTGAGGAGTAAGGAAGGGAAGGGACTTACGCAGGTCTTTCCATGCGGCCCTGATTTAGTCCATGGAGTTCAAAGCCCATTCTGAGGCAGGGTCGCTAGGCTCTTGGTTTACACCTGCAGGCTGACCCACAGACTAGGGGGCAGCTTGTTGGACTTCGGAAACACTCAAACTAGGGGGGAGATGGAAGTTCAACCCTAAAGGGACAGTAAAATGAGCCCAAGGTCTGGCGGGACGATAGCTCTTAGCGTGTAAGGAACAACAGAAAAACAAAATAGGGTTTCTGTAGGTGTGCTAGGGTGAGGAGGGGAAACAGCCGGAAGAGGGATCCGAGAAGAACGAAAGGAGCCCACGAAGTACGCAACTCCTCCAAAAAGCCGGGGATGACCAAGGCCCACGTCCTCCCGCCACAGCGCAGGCGGCCCGGGCGGTCCCGGCC